ACTTGGGAAACACAAAATCTAAAAAGCTGAAACTTTGCAGTTATGTTCCCCGTCCACAAAGAACACAAAGATTTCACGTCTAGCCTCCAGGCATGCGTGGTTTTCATGTACAGAATCAGGAAGGTTTCTGGCGGGAAAATCGCTAACTTGAGATTCAGGAAAACTGTGAGGCTGAAATTTTCATGGAATGTTCCCAGCACATGTAGAGCTTAAATTTTACCAACCATCCCCCCGAGTCATCCGTGGTTATCGCGTATAGTCCCGTGAAATTTTTTGGTGGGCAAATGGCTAACTTGGGAACCAAGAAAGCTGGGAAGCCGAAATTTTCAGAGAATGCTAGGGATATATGTACGAAATAAATTTATCGAATTCAGCCCCTCGGTGTACGTGGCTCTCAAGTATGGTCCTGTGGAAATATTTGGCGGGAAAACGGCTAACTCGGGAACTAGGGGAGCTGGAAAACTGGAATTTTAAACTGAAATGTTCACTGTCCAAGTACCGCGTAATAATTAACTTCCCGAACTTCGAGCAGCAGTTTTCACAGTTCTAGCTACTGGGTTTCCGAGCGGCCTCATTACACCACGATATACTGCAAAAACGCATGATTGCACGGACCCGCCCGATGCGCGTCGCCAATGATTTTATAACCAAGAGAACCAGGAATACCAGTACCGCCCGAGTAATCTATGTGAGAATGATGTCAGTGATATTAATGAGGTACTTCTAATACATATGCCAAACTTTCCAGCTGCAGTCAGATACCATCACTGATACACAATCCCCATCGAGTCAAATGGTGAAAGCTTCCCACATTTCGCGTTCTTTGGTTCTCACGAGTTCGATGTTAATGCCATCACTGTCAGAAGCCTTCCCACTTGTATGAAAAGCTGCACATCTTTCTGCTTGACAGCTGTGCACCACCTCTTCAGAGATACCGCCCGAGTGGTTATTCTTATTTTTACGGGTATCATTCGGTGTGCGATGTCCAAAAAGTCCGTTCGACTTTACAAATCCTAACAGATCCTGCCACTCTTTCCCAAGGTTTGTTTAATATTGCATTCTCAGAAAAAGTGCAATGGTAGAGCTTCTGAACGCACTGATGCCGGCTAGTGAAGCAGGAACTGATGAAACTTTCAATTTGCGCTTCTGCTTCAATAGAAATCTATTAGTCGTCACTGCTAAGTTGATGTTACCGTTAAGTTGATTTTCCCGGTGCAAGCCGGATGAAAAAAAATTGCTAAAAGATGCAAGGTGAGATTTACTCGAATTAGCTGCTGCACGTTATTAAATATGCATTAGTTGTGGGCACCTATTTATGGCAATAATCTTTCAAGCTGAGAAAATAGGCACGCATATATAAACAGTGTGCCGGAGAATACAAAGGCGCAACTGTCCATAATTAGGCGTCCAACTATGAATGCGAATGCATGAATAATGAAACAGCAGTAGCAGCACCTGATCTATTATTATATTTGAGAAAACAGCAGCAGCATTGTTGACAGTCATAAACTGACTGCATTTACACACCTACCAAATGCCAGGACGCTAAAGCATCCCCGTAAAATCCAATTTATGCACTAATCAGCGCTGAAACTCGAAAAATTTGTCTCAGAATATGCACTTATGCGAATCAGAGCGAGGGACTTTGAACGAAAGATGTCACACCTCTGGAAAAGAAGCTCACCTAAATTTCACTCCTTCAGCTATTTTTGTTGCGGAGTTAAAAGCTGACGTAGCCAACTTTTTATGCATCCGCACGTGAGATCTACGGTTGCATATGAGCTATGTGGACAAAACTGCCAAAGCCAACTTTCCATGCAGCCGTACTTAAGAGGTTTCGCCATGGTGTTTCGCCATGCCATGGTTTCGCCGAAAAATCAGCGGAATCTCAAAGCTAAATTAAAGTGTGAAAAAGCAATTAAGTAACCTGTGCAGCATCGTTGAGCAGTCCGATATGCCATCGTCCCGCGAGTAGATAGTGTGTCAGGATGGATGTCCGGAGCAATTGCTGCAACACAGTACTACTCATCATCCATCGTCTCTTCCAGGCTTTTCGCTACCTTTAAACACTCATCAGCAGCTCAGCTAAAATCTACCTCCTCAACAGAGTCATTAATCAGTTCGCCTTCAGGGCAGCAGTCTTACAAGATTTGTCATGAATCATGGTTTAAAAATTTTTTGAATTCAAAATCTCGATTTTCCCGGGACATTATCAGTCAGCTTGCAAAGTGGTATTTTAAATTAATTTTAAACACCTAAGAAACGGACAACAGTCAGCTATCAGCTTACGGGCAGTATTCCTCAATATATTTAATTATCGCACTCATATATTTTCAAATCCCGACTGAAAACAATACTTTATTATATTTTTAAATTTTGCGGTCTGCTTATATGAACGACCGCGCAAATTTATCAAAAGCTTGTCCACATAGCTCATATACAACTCATATGGAATTATTGGAAAAGTCCTCATATGGAATAGCTCATATGGAATTAGTGTCTCAGAAAAGTCCTCTGCAAATTTAGACGGCTTACTTCTTGCTGAAATGTAACACTCCAGACTAAAAATCAGCCTTAATTTTAAACTGCACCCTCACAGAAGTGTAACAAATTCCTCTTCTAATGTCAGTTTCTAGACTAGGCCTCAGGCTTATGCGTCATGTGTTGAGTGTCCTACAGTGATGAATAATCTTCATAACTGACAGTCGCATTGTGTGGGTGGATCACTTAAGAACTGGGAATGCGGCTCATTTACTTTGATACTGTGATCTATATGACTTTGACAACATGGCTTGGAAAGAATTTTCCCGGCGTGGTGGATGCTTTTATGATAAAATTTGAACAAACATGGGACAAAAAATTCGCAAGAAAAATTTTCCTTGATATTCATCGCTTCATTATGCGTTTTTGCATCTTATGCGTACGCATTTCAAGTAGGTGCGATCATGTATTTTTGCACTAAACGTGAAGCAACCAGATAGTTAACAGTAAGAATAGTTGCTGCGTAACCTTGCGCGCGCAAAGAGAAAGGCTCGGCCAAGATATAGTGTTGCAACACGGGTTTGTTCTAGCGCGCATTTCATCTTGACTTTCATCTTAACTTCTAGCACGCATTACTGTGCAAATTTATTCGGTGACCGGTCGTTCATCACGAAATGGAAGTGTACAATAAATAGGAAGTTGAGATAGACCCGGGGTTAACCCTTGATATGCTAGGACGCTCGTCCACTGTTATAAGTGTTCTGACCACTAGAATTGGTAAATATCACTTTGGAGAAATCTTGGCTACGCTACACTGTGGCGACACAATTGTCATTCGTGAAGTACGCCCTACTTCTGTGTAATACCAGTACAAACCTCTGTCAATGAGCGCCTAATTCGACTTTTTGACGAAGAATTTCGTATGACGGCCAGCCGTTCTGCCCGTATAATATCGGCGAAGTCATGAATAGTTGGTGACGGTTGCGCTGTTCGTCGACCGTAAATGACCAGTTGCGCTTGCGGGTCAACTGACACATTAAAAATTACTCGGCTGTCGTACTGCACCGAAAAATGTCTGCAAATTAGACAGTTCATAAGTAACTTCAATAAAGTATTGAGAAAGTGATAATTTAGGAATTCAGTACTTTGGGCAGGTGCATTTTTATGCGTTTTGTGCTGTGTAACAGCGTTACAAAACGCATGTTGTCTGCGTGTGTGTTTGCGTGTATATGGGTGTGTGTTTTTGTGTGTGTCCCACATTTTGTCCCGCACTTTCAACTCGGGAACCACAAAAGCTAAACGGCTGAAATTTTAGTATAGTGTTCCCCGTCAACGGGTGACGCGGTAAATTTAGATTCAGTCTTCCCTTACCCGCGGGTAACACGTACGGCCGCGTGAAAGTTTTTTACGGGCAAATTAATATCTCAGGAATCACGGAGTCTAGGAGGCTGAAATTTTAGG